GAGCTCTCCCTGCTTGCTTTTGAATCAGCCCTCACTTCTCTGCACAGACGGCTTTTTCCCACACTGCAATACGAATCAAGACCTCGCCGAGTGAAGGAGAACACCCCTCCCGGCTCTTCTTCGAGAAAATCCCACGACAGCGAAGGGAAACCTTGCCCTCGATTTCGAGACGCCATTGGCCGGCAAACACTTCTTGCAGGTCGCGTTAGGCCATCTCCGTGGCGAAATGTCCGCTGTCCGTATTCGCTCGTGCACAGTGACTAGTGAGCAGGAAGGGTCACAAGTCACAGGACCAACGTGGCGACTCTACTGAGCTTTCACAAGAGTGCACGCCTTGGCGCTTGATTTGAAATGGGTCGTGTTTTGGCCCTAGAATGTCAGCGCATGCCTTTTGTCACGGAGATCTGATTCCCAGTGTGCACCCTCAAAAAACAATCTTTTTTTTTAGTTTTCGGCGAGTGAAAGCTGGATGGAACAGGTGGAGAGAAATGACTGGATTCATCGGTGACAGGAAAATTCCTAGACAGTTTAAAGTGCAAAACGTACAAGACCGTGATTAGACCCGTACTACTGTGTGGAGCTGATTGCTCGGCAGTTGGGAAAGAGGGAAGAGAACTTGAGGAGAAGAACTGAATTGAGGATAATAATAATAATAATAATAATTGCTGACACTTATACAGCGCTTTTCTGGACACTCCACTCAAAGCGCTTTACAGGTCATGGGGAATCCCACTACCGCCACCAATGTGCACCCCACCTGGATGATGCGACGGCAGCCATAGTGCACCAGAACGCTCCCCACACACCAGCTCTCAGTGGGGAGGAGAGCAGAGGGATGAAGCCAGTTCAGAGAGGGGGGATTATTAGGAGGCCATGATTGGTAAGGGCCAATGGGAAATTTGGCCAGGACGCCGGGGTTACACCCCTACTCTTTTCGAGAGACGCCCTGGGATTGTTAATGACCACAGAGAGTCAGGACCTCGGTTTGACGTCTCATCCGAAGGACGGCGCCTGTTTACAGTCCAGTGTCCCCCGTCACTATACTGGGGCATCAGGACCCACACAGACCGCAGGGGGTGAGCGCCCCCTGCTGGCCCCACTCACACCTCTCCCAGCAGCAACCTCAGTTTTTCCCAGGAGGTCTCCCCTCCAGGTACTGACCAGGCTCACACCTGCTGGGCTCCAGTGGGGAGGAGGCTGCCAATTGTGAGTTGCAGGGTGACATGGCTGCTAAACAACAAAGGCTGTTGAGACGGATTCTGCAGATTTCAATGAAGGGTAAGATCAGAAATGAGGAAATCATGTGGATGTGGTGGAGAAGATGGGAGAGGCGAGGTTACGGCGGTACGGACAGATCGCGAGGAGGGACGTTGAGGAAGTAACAAAGAGGGCGATGGGATCTGAGGTGGAAGGTGACAGAGGAAGAGGCAGGCCTAGAAAGAGATGGATAGACTGTGTGAGAAAAGCTATGGAGGTCCAGTGGTGTGAAAAAGTGTTTGCCCCCTTCCTGATTTCTTTTTTGCAGGTTGGTCACACTGAAATGTTTCAGATCGTCCCCAAAAAATTGACATATTCGACAAGGAGAACACAAGGAAACACAAAATGCAGTTTTCTTTAAACGAAGGTTTTTATTATTAAGGGGGAGGAAAAAAATCCAAATCTACTTGTACACGGCCCTGTGTGAAAAAGTGATTGCCACCCAGCCCTGTTAAAACATAAATCATCCTTGGAAAGCCGAGTTCAATGTCTCTAGCCACACCCAGGCCTGATTGCCGCCACACCCGTTCCCAATCAAGAAATCACTTCGATAGGACCCGCCTGACGAAGTGAAGCGGACCAAAAGATCCTCAAAAGCCAGACGTCGTGCCGCGATCCAACGAAATTCGGGCACAAATGAGAAACGGAGTAATTGTTCGTGAACCTCAAGCCGAAGTTTGAAGATATAACAGAGGGGACGATCACTTTTTCCCCACAGGGCCATGTAGGTTTGGGGTTCCCGCCCCCCAACCCCTTAATAATAAAAACCTTCATTTAAAAAAAACTGCACTTTGTGGTTTACTTGTGTTCTCTTGGTCGAGTATTTCAATTTGTTCGCTGAGCTGCGACATTGCAGTACGACCAACGCGCAAACAAAATCAGAAATCAGGAAGGGAGGTGGGAAACGCTTTTTCACACCACCACATGTGAAGGGAGCGAGGAAGATTTGCTCGACGGAGACCAGTGGAGACGTTCTTAGCAGGTTCTCCAAAAACCGGCTTTTTTTTTTTCCCTTTGAAATCGGATCTGAAGGGTCTCGCCTCGACAAGAGGGTACTCACGGGGGATCCATCACTCTCCTCTGTTTGTAAACCAACCTGGAAAAAGGAAGAGACATATTTTAGGTCCGGAAATTTGAAAAGCGCAGGCCTGTAGAATTCTGTTCCACGTGTTCGTTCATTACTACTGCTCAGACAAGCAGACCAGTTCCTCTTTTCTCCCCCTGACTCTGGAAGGAAGGGCTTTGTAGCTCTGGAAATGAAGGAGACAACTTGTCCAGGTAATAATAATAATAATTGCTTACACTTATATAGCGCTTTTCTGGACACTCCACTCAAAGCGCTTGACGGGTCAGGGGGAATCCCACTACCGCCACCAGTGTGCAGCCCGCACCTGGATGATGCGACGGCAGCCATAGTGCGCCAGAACGCTCCCCACACAGCAGCTCTCAGTGGGGAGGAGAGCAGAGGGATGAAGCCAGTTCAGAGAGGGGGGTTATTAGGAGGCCATGATGGGTAAGGGCCCATGGGAAATTTGGCCAGGACGCCGGGGTGACACCCCTACTCTTTTCGAGAGACGCCCCGGGATTGTTAATGAGCACAGAGAGTCAGGACCTCGGTTTGACGTCTCATCCGAAGGACGGCGCCTGTTTACAGTCCAGTGTCCCCCGTCACTATACTGGGGCATCAGGACTCACACGGACCGCAGGGTGAGAGCGCCCCCTGCTGGCCCCACTCACACCTCTCCCAGCAGCAACCTTAGTTTTTCCCAGGAGTCTCCCCTCCAGGTACTGACCAGGCTCCCACCTGCTGAGCTCCAGTGGGGGGGGGGGCTGCCAGCTGGGAGTTACAGAGTGATACAGCTGCTGGCACTGAGGTGGATATGAGGTGATAAAGAGTTCAAAGGTTTCTACCGAGCGACAAAAGGTTTTCCAGTTCCGTAGTCACACAGGCCCCAAGGTTCTGGGAGTACTCCTTGCTAACTCTGCTATGTTTTCCTTATTTCTCGCCCTTGGACTCCTGCTGACCACTCTGTTGCTTAGCGACCCTAACGATAATGATCTCCTCCCCCCAGCCTGCTTACAATACCATACATAAGCGAGCAAGACCCACTGCAATTTGAGCTCCACTTTGCTAATCTGCTACTGTATGTGCTTGCGCCCTGTGTACACAATAAAGACTCCTCTCTCGATCTGAACCCGAGTTACGTTTCTGAATTCAACAGATACGACTTAAGCTGGCAGCTCCAGTTGATCAGAAAGGCGGACAAACCGAGGCACTCACCCCTCCGGACTGACACTGATCCCTTGGACGTCGTCACACCCTCTTCTGTTGAATTCAAAATGACAGCCGTGAGCCGCATTGCTGGGGTGTCGCGTGTAGCTAAGGTCGTGCAGAGGTCAGGGGTCAAAATCAGCCCTCTCAGTTTATTCTCAGTTTTACTCTCGCTTATTATCCGGTCTCACAGCTTCATCAAATTCGTCTTTAGCCCTCTTGAGTGCAGGGTGCTCATTGCAGTACGAATGACCAAGCGCTCGTTTGCCTCCTTAATTATGGCTAGACAGGACAGCAATGTGTAGTGGAAACCACACAACGACAGTAATAATTGCTCACGCTTATAGAGCGCTTTGCTGGACACTCCACTCAAAGCGCTGTACAGCTCAGGGGGAATCCCACTACCGCCACCAGTGTGCAGCCCCCACCACCTGGATGATGCGACGGCAGCCATAGTGCGCCAGTACGCTCCCCACACAGCAGCTCTCAGTGGGGAGGAGAGCAGAGGGATGGTGCCAGTTCAGAGAGGGGGGTTATTAGGAGGCCATGATGGGTAAGGGCCAATGGGAAATTTGGCCAGGACGCCGGGGTTACACCCCTACTCTATTCGAGAAACGCCCAGGGATTTTTAATGACCACAGAGAGTCAGGACCTCGGTTTGACGTCTCATCCGAAGGACGGCACCTGTTTACAGTCCAGTGTCCCCCTCACTATACTGGGGCATCAGGACCCACACAGACCACAGGGTGAGAGCGCCCCCTGCTGGCCCCACTAACACCTCTTCCAGCAGCAGCCTTAGTTTTTCCCAGGAGGTCTCCCCTCCAGGTACTGACCAGGCTCACACCTGCTGAGCTCCAGTGGAGGGGCTGCCAGTTGTGAGTTGCAGGGTGAGATGGCCGCTGGCTCAGATCAGGTTCTTGAGGTGAGCAGGAAAGCAGATCCTTATGTACAGTATGCATACAGGAGCACAGTACAGAATACAGTTCTGAATTAAGCTCAAATTGAACACAGCAGTTTTCCCCCTTTTTATACAGCGAGATGCACACCAATTTATTCATACAGGCCGAAACAATAGCAGATATTCCAGCAGAAAAACAAAAAAGTCTACAAGATATTTTCTGAGGCGATTTCGGTTGTTGGTGCCCTAAGGGAACAGTTCGTTTCACAATGGACTATCTCCTCCCTGATAAAAGAGAGTCGCGTGCAACTGTAGCTATCAGCTATTCTCAGAATAGGACCTGTTGTTCCATTTCTCGGAGCACAAAATTCGGAACCCTTTGGAATTCTTCAGCAGAAACAGTTTTCCGATTTTTTTCCACCCAATACCAACACTTGGATCCAAAGGGATTTGCATTTTGTAATGGAAAGTTGGGGAGAACAAGTGTTTCATCCTCAAAATGTCGTTTGGGGGACAGAACTGTGCTACAGAGGCAGCCAGATACTTAGAACACAGTGTGAGAGCACCCCCAGCTCGTCAAGGGCACGGGGTGTTTAAAACAAAGTTTATCTCTGCTGCCTGAAGAACAGAGTATGAGAAACTATGTGAATAACTGCTCTTCTCTGCTTAAAGCAGAAACCAATCAGGAATGAAAAATGACTGCTTCGCTTGTCCCTGAAGCGTTGCATCAGGCTTAAAAAAAGATATAAAACAAGGTGCTCTCCCTGCTTGCTTTTGAATCAGCTTTCACTTCTCTGCACAGACCAGTGATGGCTTTTTCCCATATTACCAGCAGCCCTATCACTCCACAACTCCCAGCTGGCAGCCCCCCACTGAAGCTCAGCAGGTGTGAGCCTGGTCAGCACCTGGAGGGGAGACTCCTGGGAAAAACTAAGGCTGCTGCTGGAAGAGGTGTGAGTGGGGGCCAGCAGGGGGTGCTTTCACCCTGCGGTCTGTGTGGGTCCTGATGCCCCAGTATAGTGACGGGGGACACT